CTTGGGCAGAGGGAAGCTATCTTTTGGGCAAGCTTTGTTAAGGTTGGTATAATCTACGCATACCCTCCATTTCTCATTCTTCTTTTAAACGACTACTACATTTGAGAGCCATTGTGGGTATTGCACCTCTCGAATGAATCCTGCTTGTAATAGTTTATTTACTTCCTCGGCTATTATGCGATTCCGTTCAGGTGCGAACCGTCGGTGCCTCTGCTTGACTGGCCTGAATTCTGGGTTAACCCTCAAACTATGGCATGAGACCGTAGGATCGATCCCCACCATGTCCGAGTGATCCCAGGCAAAGACATCCGAATTGCACCGAATGACCCTGATCAATGCTTCCTTCTCTTCGGCTGTGCAAGATGAGCCAATGTAGGTGACCTTCTGAGGGTCTCCGAGGACAACCTCTATAGCTTCGAGGGACTCCTCGGTAGGTGCTTCAGCCTCGGCTTCTTCCACTGCCTTGAGATACTTGGGCAGAGGATACTGTAACTGCTATTTGATTGCGTCTTTGGGATTCGCCTCTGACTGAGGTGATTTCGACGCCTTCTTTGCTTCATGTAGCGTTAGCATGTAACATTCTTTTGCAGCAACCTGGTCTCCCCAGAGGTCGATGACCTCCCTGCCATCTGGGGATAAACACCTCATTACTTGATGAAGGGTAGAGGGGACTCCGTTCATACGATAGATCCAACCTCTCCCCATAATGAGGCTATAAGATGGATGAATCTCCGTCACGACAAGGTTCTCCTTCAGAGTCCTCTTTGCTGCAGTAACGGATAGATCGATCACCCCAAGCGGATTCACCTTAGTACCATCAAACCCCATTAGGGGGCTGAAAGTTGGCCTGATGGACGATGGTGAAACCCCCAGTTGATCGAAAGCTACTTTTGTAATGATGTTGGCGCTACTTCCCGGATCTATCAGTACCCTCCTAATCATATAATTCGCTTCTAGGAGGCTAATGACCAAGGGGTCCTCATGCGGGCGCTGGACTATAGACAGATCATTGTTACCGAATCCAATGTTAATGCTGCCTGGTGCAACCGTGTTTACCGAAGACAATCTTCGTAACTTATGAGCCTCTCTCAGCCTGGATCTGTACAACTCTTCAGACTCTTCATCATCCTCTGACCTTCCGTGTATGGCATGGATAACCTTTACCTGACCGCCCTCTACCCGTCGAGGGTTAACCTCCTGAGGTTTTACGTACTCCTTCGTGGCGAGATACTCCACCAACTCTCCTCTCGCTATCATGCTTTCTACCTGTCGCTGAAGGGACCTGCAGTCATTGGTGGTATGCCCATAGTCTCTATGGTAGGCACAATGTTTGCTTTTGTCCCTCTGCTCTAAGGGTTGTTTCATGGGTTGAGGAGTTGCGAACCTCGTCTTATTCTCTTGGAATAGGCGCGCTAAGGTAGTACGGAGAGGGGTAAGCCTGTCCTCTGTCCTTTGCCTCTTCTCAGGCGCTTGGGTGACTTGTGTGGCGGCATAAGGAACCTTCTGCATCTTTGTGCTTGCAGCTTTCTCTCGAGACTTGTTTTCCACTGTGACGAGGGTAGCGTGTTGTGCACGGTGGGCTACGTTTTCCTCCAACCGAATGTAGATTTGTGCCCTAGCGTTCAAAGTCTGTATATCCGGGGGGGAATATTTGATCAAGGATGTGTGAAACTTGGTTCCCTGGATCATTGCCAACTTAAATGTTTCGATTGCCGTGGCAGGGTAGCAATCTGCTATCTCCGAGGCTTCCATGTTAAACCTGGATAAGAAATCTTGCAGAGTTTCTCCCTTCCTTTGCCTTATGGTGAAAAGGCTGGCGATACTTTTCTTCTGCTTCTTATTTCCGCAATACTGGGCTAAGAACATAGTGCACAAGGTCTCATAATCAGGGATAGACTTGTGTGGCCTATTCCTGAACCATTCTAACGCTGCTCCAGTTAAACTGGTAGGAAAAACCTTACACATTCACGGATCGTTATGATCGTCCAGTGCCATCTTTTGTGCATAATGATCGAGATGCCGAGAAGGGTCTCCTGCCCCATCGAACTGGGTGAAGGATGGCATAGTGAACTTCCTTGGTCTCTCCACAAGGTACACATCGTCAGTAAAGGGGGTTTTGACCAAGGAGTTCTTGTGCTCTCTAGCCATCTCGGCTGGTGTCTGAACTCTTAATAGCTTCTTTTCGTCGAAGGCATCTTGTACGCATGCGCCATCTGGAACGCCATTGGACCATACCGTAAGCCTATGGCTGGACTCGGCATGTTCGTCCTGTGTGCGACGCGGGAGATTATCCGAAGCAACCGCCTCGGACCTTGTCCCTTGCTGTTGCTGAACCTCATTAGGTCGAGCCCCGTTGGGTGGTGTCCCGTTGGCCGGAGGCTCGTGAACTGGAGGTAAATTCTGGGTGGGGGGTGGTGCTGCAGCATCGCCTGGTGGTGGTTGTGGCGTTAGCCTGGCCATTGCCGTGTGCAGCGTATGAGTTTGCTGCTGAAGCGCAGCTATCTGGGCGACACTTGTATCGTTTGCTTGCCGGAGTGTCTCAAATTGGTACAAGAACTCCTCTCGCATCTTTTGCATCAATTCTATCTGTTGATTCATTGCTGACTCTCCGTTTGACATTCCAGATACGACTAAGGATTTGATTTGAAGAACAAGTGGGAGTATATTTTTATACGATTCCCACAGACGGCGCCAAAGTGTAGGTGCAGAATTTCGCTCAACCAATAATGATTAAGACAAATAAAACAACTCACTCAATCAATAGTAAAAATAAACAAGAACAATATATGTCGAAGCGTAGAATTGCTTGATCCCTTTATTGGAGGTCTAAGCCTCTATTTATATACAAAATATTGTAAAATTATGGTAGGACTCGCGTTGCTTGTCCTCCAATTCTTTCTATATAAACATTCTTTACTAATAGAGTTCTTTCCATTGTCTAATTTTCCATACATAGAACTTGCCTTGTACAGAACTTCCTATCTCAGAATTTTCCTTCTATGGTAAATCTTTCAACTGGTAGGATTTGTGCATTCTTGAATAACTGGGCTGAACATACTTTGATCCGGCTGGGCTTGAATAACGGACTGAATGTTAAATATTAACAAGTTGGGCTGATGACCTCTTGATTCGGCCTTGATGGAGGTTGGAAGACAAATAACAATGGTCTTGGGCTAAAAATACACTCAATTTGGGCTTGAGCATAACGGGCCTTTGGAAGATAGATTTACATTTGTGATGACGTGGAATATTCTTATTGAAGGGAGTTTTTTTCCCTCCACAATTAAACATTACAGTATAAGTGACATGCAATTAAAAAAGATTGCAGACATAAATCCCGTGTGGTTCATCTTATTTATATGAAATTAAGACAAGGTTCACGATGAAGAGAAATATTTTCAGCTAGCATGCATGTACGAAACGTTGTTGTTTGCTTCCGAGAGAGGTGGCGGCTAGGATTCAGATTGGATTTGGGCTGAGAAATTGAAGTTTAGGTTTATAACTTAATATGAATGGTAGGATCATGGACTTGGGCCCTTTTATTTTTAAAAGTATTTTGTTAAATTTATACTGCAAGTAGATTGGATTGGGTTAAAATAAGCTTTATACTTGAGTTTATAAAAAAATAAAAAAATAAAAAAAAGGTTGACCTTATTATGTAGGCATATAGCATACATATATTTATGAGCTCAATTAACAAATCAAGTCAATTAACAAACTTGTTTATCAACGTGTTAACAAATTAATGAATCGTATAGACTATTTAAAATTAGTTCATTTATTATCTAAAAATATAATATTTTTTTGTTTGAATTCGATTAATGACCCAACAAGATTTATATATATATATATATATATATATATATATATAGATTTTATTGACATTTGTGATGTCACTCTTAAAGTTCCAAATAATTTGAGAAAATTCGAGATATCAATAAGTCTTATATGTCCTAAATGTTCCTTATACAATTTGGATAGCAAACTCTTTGTCATAGGATTTGCGATTATTAACCTTGTTCTTATGTAATTTACTAACACTTGATGATTCTAAACTTTTTCTTTAACAACAAAAAACTTTATGTCAATTCACATGTTAGAACTTCCACTTGCGTTGCTGTTACATAAACAAACCAACAAACAACAACCATTTCAAAAAAAAAAAAAAAAAAAAAAAAAACAAACAAACCAACAACTACAAATAGCAATGACTACATTTCTATTTTTCATTACAAAACCAAGAGAGCAAGATATGTAAAGTACATGGGTAACTTAATCGAGTGGGTATATATCACTATCCATAAAATATTGCACGTAAAATATTGCACTTATGATGAGCTAGTTTGCACATCTTTGTCCTTCTCTGTTTTTTTTAACCATTTCCAAAAAAAAGTTTGTACCATACAGAGTAGTTTGCTTTGCTTTTGCTTTTGTTGTGGCATCAAAGTACTTGGTCACCACTTGGCATTTACATTATTTAGGTGTAAATTAAGTACAAATTAAAAAGTCTGAAGAGAACATCACTAACCCTTTCCACTTGTAAGTACATGTGCAGCTTAATATTGTACAAGAATGACACCTTTGGTTAATTTATAATATTGAAATGAAAAAGGAGTACCATTCCAATTTTCTTTTCATCTTTTTCTTAAATGTTGAAAAAACTTATTCCTCTTGATGACATAAGCAATTTATATTTTATTTTATTATAAAATGATATTAAAAAGTAACCTAACATGTACCTACATCCAAAAAAATTAGTATATCTCATTCTCTTAATGACGTTTTCACCATCTAATAGATTGACTTGATCTAATTATCCAGCGAATTTGATTACACTCTCCACTCAAAATCAAATAACTTACAATTTGTCAATCACACTAATATCAATTTTGTTGATTTTGCTCAAATAGTTAGGTTGAGTCAAGTTCACGTGCCTTTAAATGAATAGAAATGGGTTGAATCAAGATTCAAGACAAGTAAATTGTCAAACACCTAACACATTTTGGAATCAAGACAAGTAAATTGGATTTCTTTATTTTAAGGGAATATTTGAAACACCAACTTGGAACCACATAGAAGCTCGAAACATCTTCATGGAAATATAGTGTCACCAAAAAAGGGAAAAAAAAAGATAATAAGATAATTGGAGGGACCTAATTGCTTGGTGCACATCAACTTGGACACAGAAGCACTTTATCATACATAAACTTCTTCTTTCATGTGCCATTTATTTCATTTGGCAGAAGAGAAATGCCAGAGCCTTCAACAACAGGTCTGCTTCAGCTCATCACATAATCCATCTCATTAAAGGATACATCAGAGCAAGATTTGCTTCCCTCAAGCTAAATCTCCTGAAGCACTGCATCAACTTTTCTTTCAAGGATGCTCCTTTGCAAGTGGCCAATCTTGGTTCTGTTATTTTATAAAGCTTACCTTTTTACCCAAAAAAAGAATAAAAATAAAAATAAAAATAAAAATAAAAACTCTAAGGACTTAAATCATTCCATCTTTTTCATCATAGGAATGGCAGTAAGTGGGATGGCTTTCTTCAATGTAATCCCAAACTGCTCCTCCATGTCCAAATTCTCCGGCTCGATTCCTCCGGCGATCTTCCAATTGAATTCATGGACAAGAGAAGCTAACATTAGATGAACCATTCGGAATCCCAGAGGCAAACCGGGACAGATTCTCCGGCCAGCGCCAAACGGTATGTACTGAAAGTCTTGAACTTTAAAGTCAATGTTAGAGTCTAAGAACCTCTCTGGCTTAAATACCAATGGGTTGTCCCAATACAATTCATCTCTACCAATAGACCATGCATTCACTACGACTTGGTTGTCCTTATATATGGTGAAGCTGCCGATTTCTACATCGTTCCCGGCTTTGTATGGTAGCAGAAGGGGGGCGGCGGGGTGGAGTCTCATGGTCTCCTTCACCACAGCTTGCAGGTATGGGAGGTGATCAATGTCGGATTCTTCGACGGACCGGTTAGAGCCAATTTTTTGGATGAGTTCGTTCTGTAATTTCTTCATTGTGTCCGGGTTGCGAAGAAGTTCTGCCATTGCCCATTCGGTTGTTAGTGAAGATGAATCACTCCCAGCAATAAACAAGTCCTGTGATTGTATATTGTGAGAGTTTTAAATTTTGAAATACTAAACTCTTGCCTATGTATTCTTGAGGCTGATACAATAATAATATGATGAAGAAGAATAAATGTAAAATAACATTTGTCTACTAATGAGATGCAGTTTAGATTGTCTGAATGTTTGAGTGGGTGGGGTTGCTTGACCTTCCCCCTTCCCAAGAATAAATAAATAAATCATCGATGATGATTTTAAAGTCTACAAGTTTGAACCAAATAGAAAGTCAAAGACCTTTTCCGTCACATATAACTATATTGACTGAATAGGAAGTCCTCGTTTTCCCTCTTTGGTTCAAAGTCTTTGAAATTAATATTCCAACTATTTCGCTTTAATTTTTGTCTTCGAGAATCGTGACTCACATCTGTTTTAATTGTCGCCTTCGGGAATTGTGACTCACATTATTCTCGCAATGTGAGTCTCGATTCCTGAAGGCGACAATTAAAGCGGAGGCAACAATTAAAGCGGATGTGAGTCACAATTCTCGAAGACGGCAATTAAAACGGAATAGTTAGAATATAATATGAGTCACGATTCCCGAAGGTGACATGTAAGTCACGATTTTCGAAGGCGACAATTAAAGTGAGACGGATGTAGTAATATTATTCAAAAATAATATATCTAATTAAATAAAAAGATATCGTTTTCAAATTTTTAGGGCGGACTTTGTTTATAATTTTGAAAAAAGTTATCATGAATTTAAAAAATAGAAAATTATTTTTTAAGAATTATAAAATTAAAACAATTATCTAAAAACAGATATTTTTATAATCAAAGTTTTCAAAAAAAAATTAAAGCAATTAAGTATAGTTTTTTCTACAATATTTTGATTTTCAAATTTCTAAAAACATAAAATTATTTTCATAATTACAAAAACATGTGTGACAAAATACATGAAGTTACATAGCAAAAAGAAGTTCATGGTTGTTACCAGGATCAAAGGTTTGATGGTTAGGCTGTTGAAATCCGACTCATCTTTTTCACATTGATCAAGAAGAACTTCCAAGAAGTCACCAGCCCCCAAACCCAAAGCCCTAGATTTCAAACGCTGACTGATGATTTCGTCAAAGATCTCATGAAGCCTCTTATACGAAGGCTTTATGTGATGCCTTATTCCCTGCAAATCAAACCATTTTAGCACCGGAAAATAATCAGAAACATTTGGCTTCCCACCATCTTCCATAATCCTCCAAACCAGGTCCTTGAACTCCTGAGCTGACTCGAAGTCTGCGTCGATCACGTCGACTGAGAGGATGGTGTTCGACATCAAGTTCAGGCTGGTAGCGAAAGTCACTTGGCCGATGTCCACCGGCTCACCGGAAGCACAGAGCTTCCGGACATGGCCGAGGAGGTCTCCGACTTTCTTGTGGCGGAGGTGTTGCATGGTGTCCAGTGTCTTGTTGGTGAACAGTTGTGTGGTGCAGACTCTCCGGCGGTTGCGCCACTTTTGGTTGCCGGGGACCCACGCAAGGGTTCCTTCCGGGTAGGGTTGGGCCGCGATGACATCCGGCACAGGCCGGTCGGAGAAGGTTTTGTCGTGCGTATGGAGGATTTCTTTGGCCAGTTCGGCGGAGGAAGCAACAATGGTGGTAACAAGGCCGAAGCGGAGAGTCATGAGAGGGCCGTAGTGTTTAGCCCAATTGGCCATTGTCTGGTGGGGTTTCTTCCCCAGTTGGAGGAGGTTACCGACAATGGGAAGTCCGGTGGGACCGGGAGGTTGTTTGGCGGCAGGAGCTCGCCGGAGCAACCACCATTGGAGGCAGAATAACAGTATTACTACTGCAGTAGTGAAGAGGTTGAATTGGATCTCCATTTGGGTGCTCTCTCAAACACCTCTCCAGTGTGGTCACTTGATAAAGTACTGCTAGTGTATATATATATATATAATTTTCTCGGCCATCTTTTTCTCATTTGAAAAGAGAGACATTAACTCCTTACGTGGCTGAAGGCTGAACAAGTATTGGTAACTAATTTTGAAGACTAGACCTCAACAAGTATATGCGTGAAATTTCTCGCTCAATGACTATATATATATAGAAACAGGATTTATTGATGATGGAGGATTTTATCAATTTAGATACCCTAAGTCATTGAGCAAGAAATTTCACGCATATACTTGTTGAGGTCTAGTCTCCAAAATTAGTTACCAATACTTGTTCAGCCTGCAGCCACGTAAGGAGTTAATGTCTCTCTTTTCAAATGAGAAAAAGATGGCCGAGAAAATTGAGAAATATTGCTAAGTAATTTTTCAAACCTATTTGTACGTATAGGGCCCGTTTCTATAAATTTATATTTGTAAGTAAAATCTGTAACGCTCCATCACCCTTCAGACACTAAGTCAGTGTCTCAGAGTTGGAGCTTGATATGAACTATTTATTCTCAAAAGTCACAACTCAATTAATAACTTTTTTTACTTCTATGATTTGTGTAAAACTGTTGGATCCAATTTTCTTTTGATTTTAGATTATAATTGTTTAATTTTTAACTAATCCAATTATTATAACTTTTATGTGTGTGTATATATCACATGCTTTTATTCGAGATAAATGTGTGGCAAGCAATTAAAAAATATATATATTTAGAGGTTTACATATATTTATAGAAATGCCTAATTATAAACTCACCGGAAAAATATATATATATAGAGAGAGAGAGAGGTTATTGTCAATGTAAGAAAAATATATTATAGAAAACTTATAAATTCACCAGGAAAAAAAAAAGGATGTTAAATTCCCGGTTTATTGAAGAAATGCCTCAAAACTGTAGTTTACTGAAATTTTTGCCAAAATTTTTATTGTGAAGTGCATTACTCAATAAGGTGCTTTGAGAAATTGAAAGAAAATAAACCTAATTTTTTCTAGATATAAGTCATATGACCAGGAAAGTAAAAATTTTGGAAGTGTAATAATTTCCATGCAAAAAGTTCTAAGCAATTGGCACCATATGATCAATAATATATAAGAAATATCATTTTGGAAGTGTAACAATTTCCATGCAAAAAGTTTACACATGTTCATAATATTAATATAATTCATGACCACCACGACTTGCATAAACACTGTAGAGTAAATAATACTGGTGGATTGATCTGTAGGAATACACCGACTAAGCTACAAAGAGACAAATGTATGTCACGGGCATCAACATGTATATTATATATATCTATTTATTATCAAAGGTAAAAGAAGTTTCAGTATAATATTGTATTTTACTGTATTATTGTGTTTTGAGTATATATATTAATTTATATATTAATTAGATTTTTTTTTCAATTTTAATTACTATATTATTATTATTATTAACTAAACAAATAATTTTTTTATATTATTTCAAATTCATTATATTAGATTTCGTTGTCAATTTTAACGATTAAAGTCTAATTAGAAAAGAAAATATATAATATTAAAAAATTAAACTATAAAATTCAACAAACGAAAATCTAATTAGAGAAAGAAATAAATAACACTTAAAAAATTATTTATTTAATTCAATTAAAAGAAATCTAGTTAATAGAAAGAAATACTGAAATTTAATAAAAGAAAAACTAATTAGAGAAGAAAATGTATAATAGTAAAAAAACTTATTTATTTAATTCAATAAAATAAAATCTAGTTAGAGAGTGAAATACTAATAATAATAAAAAAAAAATATTGAAATTTAATACATGGAAATCTAATTAGAGACTTCTATATCAAATATGCCAATAAAATCCTAAACTAAGAATTCTATATACAAAATTATTTTTATACTTAATTTTTTATAATTTATTTTAAATTTTTATAATGTTATTTATTTTAATAAATAATATGTTTTTATAATTTTATTTATATATAATAAATAATAATGAAATTTTTTTCTTATATATGTTTTTGATCCTTTACAATTTTTTGTTTTTTTTTAATTTATGTTATATACATACTTCCGCTCACGTGTGTGTTATAATTGATATCTTGCACAATAGTAAACGAGAGATTTTCTTCACACCAAATATAATGAAAGTTACTCACACCTAAAAAAAGCCCAAAAATTAAAGATGTTATATATTATTCTTCAAATTAGATCAATTTGAATTTCCAAGCACCAATTTCGTAGAATTATGTCAACAAAATGGTACTTTTTGTGAAAAAAAAAATAATAATAAATAACTATTAGAAATAAAATTCACTGGACCAATATATCATCAGTTTCAGGTTATTTTGAAGTTTGAATTAGTTGATTTATATACTTAAACAATGATTATTTTTTAAGTCTATCATCAATAACGAGAATCCACTCATAAAATGAAAATTTTTTTTTTGGTAAATAAAAAATTCGAATATAACAGTTTTTTTTTTTTCTTTCCCCCGGTTAATAGTATAACAGATTTCTTCAATCCATTAAATTATATATATATATATATACATGGTGCATGGTAAAGTACTAAAGTGAGGTTATTTTGTTAGTATTATTATTATATGTTCCACAATCGATTAATGTGTGATTTGAATATATAATTATCATGTTATTTTAATTCCCTTTTATTTATTATTATTATTATATATATATATTTTTTGATAACTTTCTCTTTGACGTATGGTAGTTGTTGTGTGTGTCCGTATCTTTGTAGAATATTTTTTGGAATTTTAAATGTAGAATATGACCTGGAAAAGTTAAAAAGAAGACCCCATATTCAACGCATGTTATCACACAAGACCAAGAGAACATACAAATTTCCAACTTTTTAATATTGGTCTTCCTTGGGGGCTTCATAAAGTCATTAGTTCTATTCGTACAAAAAAATATTATTAAATTGGAAATATATATATATTTGAAATATTTTACACTTTTTATTATTTGATAACAAAATTATTCTATAAAATCTAAACCATATGATTTAGAATTAAATTTCCAGCTTAAACTCTTGAAGGTAATAATGTGATGGAAATAGTTTTTTTATATATATATATATATATATATATTGATTTGAATTGAGAGTGAAACACTATTTGTTTTGGTTTTATAATGGTATTGAATTATTTTTTCCTGTAACAAAGAAAAAAAAAAAAAAAAACCTTCTTTTATACAATATGGATAACAAAAATGAAAAATTGAGTACATTAGGGCTTGCTTGGTTTATAACTCTGAAAATAGTTCTTAATAATTCAGATAATACAAAACAATTTTTTGAGAAAAATAAAAGACGGTTTTATGAAAACAGACATTTTTATAACTGAATTTTTAAAAAATTGAACTAAGTAGAATTTTTTGTATAATTTTTAATTTTCTAAAAATAATAAATTATTTTTAAAATTACAAACCAAACAGGCGCTTAATCTGTCCTCTGAAAAACTCCAAAAATGACCAACTTATTGAGATTAATTTGGACCTCTGTTTTTGTGCACAGAGAGATCACTATTGTCTATATATCCAAGTTCTAATATGTATGGTGCGTTTTTATTTTATATATATATATATACTTTGCTGTTTTTGTCATTATTGCTACTGCTGCTAAATTAAAGTGAGAATAGATAAACATTAGTTGAAATTTTATATAAACTTGTTTGATTTCAACATATTTTAAGTGGTGGCCACAACAATAAATTTAGATCCTCTCTTCTAAAAGAATTGTCAATATATACCATGTCATTAATTATAAAGACTATTATACATACAACCAAGAACATGTTATTGATGTGGGATTCACCTGATGCAATCTTTAAACCTTGCATCATCACTTACATCATAATTTGAGTGGTGATCAAGTATTCCTTCGTCTTGGCTTTACAATGAAGCTCATCCATTAGCCTATATATGCAGCCATCAATTGTACTCGGGTGCATATATATAAATAGAAGCAGTAAAATGAATATGAAGATATTACTCTCTGTAATCTTTATTTCTCTCACTATATATATATATGTGTGTGTGCGCGCGCTATTACACTGTCTATAACATATTAATTATAAGACCTTACCAGTACGAGTTTTAGTCATCTGAGATTTAAACAAGAAACTCTCTCTCCCTCTTTCTATCTCAACTCTATATATCTCTTTTTTGATATTAATTTTGATAAATTGTTGAATTTGTTTACCGAAGAAAATTATATTTCTGATTCTAAAGGGTAAGAAAATTTTAATTATTGATTATTATTCATGAAATTAATTTGTCCACTTAAGTGATATATGTGCTTACACTATGACCAATTTTACCGCCTTTATTATTTATGATCTATTAACTATGATTGGTTTTACCGTCTTTATTATTTAATGATCTACTAATTATGGTCGGTTCTACCGTATTTATTATTTAATGATTTACTAACTATGGTCGGTTCTACCACCTTTATTATTTAGTAATCTACTAATTATGGTCGGTTTTACCGCCTTTATTACTTAATGATATGGTTGGTTTTACCGTCTTTATTGTTTGATAATTTATTCACTATGGGTGATTTTACCGCCTTTGTTGTTTAATTATACTGGAATTATAATAGTGCATATTATGTTGTTTTTTCACTTACTGCCATTTTATTATTAAGATATTATGTTTCTTTTTATATTATTATAAATTGTATTCTTATGTTGTTATTACATCTAGTTACTCGTGGCCTTTGGACATTTTTGCCAAAAATTATTTATCTTGGATTCTGGATACTCAGATCCATTTAAATACCATGGGCTTTGGAAACACAATTAAAGAAGAGAATGATGCATCATTACAAGATAAAGCAAAGGCCATGATTTGCCTTCATCGCCATATTAGTGAGGAATTAAAAATTGAATACCCAATTGAAAGAGATCCACTGAGTTTGTGAAAAAATCTGGAAGAAAGATATGATCATCAAAAACTAATCATCCTCCCAAAAGCTCGGGCTGATTGGCAACAACTGTGGTTGCAAGATTTTAAAACTGTGACTAAATACAACTTTGCCCTATTTAAAATCAGCTCTACATTAAAATTGTGTGGTGATACCATAACTGATGAACTTTTCTTAGAA